GATTCAGAGACTGTTGAAGAGATAATCTCACTTTTAACAGCAGTAGCTTCTTCTGCCAGTGTAGGAAGAATATTTTCTTCCTTAGACTAATTCATTCAAAATTGAGAAATCCTTTGGGACCCGAAAAAGCAGGAAAGCTTGTTTTTCTTTTCCAGGTTATGAACAAACAGGAAAATGAAGGTGAAGACAACTGAGTTAGCTGCAGAAGCCAATATTTTAAGTTTCTCATGTTGACCTGGCTGACGTAGTCGATTTAATTTTTGTTTTGTTTTTTAAATATTTAACTATTTTACTGTAAAACAATTTTAACAAAAACAAACCTGATTTTAAAAAACTTGAATGTTTAACTAAATTCAAAAATAGCTTAGTGGTTTGAGCATTGGCTTGCTAAACCCAGGGTTGTGAGTTCAATCCTTAAGGAGGCCACTTAGGGATCTGGGACAAAAATCAGTACTTGGTCCTGCTAGTGAAGGCAGGGGGCTGGACTCGATGTCCCTTCCAGTTCTATGAGATAGGTATATCTCCATATGCTTGTTTTGTTAAAATATTATACGTTTGCTGTTGAAGAAAAAAATCCAGAATACAAAACGTTGTTGTTTTAGTTAAATAAAACAATTTATATGTCTGTCTGGTGATGTTCTCTTTCTAATACAACATGGCAAGAAAATCCTCCAAATATTAATGATTAACCTGTTGAATTAGAGATCGTTCCCCTCCCAATGACTTCATAAATATCTGCTTCAAATACCTTTGGTAAATGAAATAACCAAATAATCATTCATTTTCTGATATAGCTGTAAAACTAATCTGAAAAGTTTTCAAAATAAATCACTTAAAAAATTTACAGTGTGTACTTCTAAAAATGAAACCTACATCTATCTCTGAGTTGTGAAGAATATGTATTAAAGTTAGAACAACCAACAAGAATGCACTTTTATGTAGAAATCCATGATTAAATCAAGTCTTCCTGACTAGTGATTTAAATCATGATTTAAATATATTAGATTTAAATCAAATCCACCCTGATGACAGCAAAACTTTTATCGTTCAGGTGTGTGAAAAAACACCCCCCCCGAGCAACATAAATTTTGTCAGCATAAGCACTCGTGTGCACAGCGCTATGTCGGCGGGAGACACTCTCACGCCGACATAGCTATTGCCATTCCTTGAGCTGGTTTTATTATGTTCACAGGAGAGCTCTGTTCTTTTGGCATAACGCAGCTACATGAGTGCTCTTACAGTGGCATAGCTGTATTGGTACATCTGTGCCACGGTAAGCTTGTAAGTGTAGACATGGCCTAGTAGTTCCGTTGAAATCAATGGGACCACTTATGCATGAAGTTAAAGACACCTAGTTCTTGCAGGATTGGGGCCTTCTTTTGAATTCTGTTCTGCAATATGGGTAGTAAAAAACTTCACATCTGATTAAGTGGTGATTATTATTCAATTTACAAAAAGAAAAGTGCTTGGAGGAACATCTGATAAAAAATTTTTTTATTATTCCAGGGATAGATCTGAATGTCTATAGTGTCACTGAAGTTTTTTAGCACATTCATAGTTTTAAAACCAAATAAGTATATTTTCCTGATTTATGTTATTATGAACCTCTCTCAATGCATTTCAAATAGCATAGGTTTGAAATATGTAACATAATATTCCTTATAGGTGTTACAATGTTTAATAGTTAAAGATACAAGCAGCAACATTTCAAAACTTACAGAACATTAGTGGTTAAAACTACAGTATCTACCCCTGAGGTTGTGCGCCAAAAAAATTAAAAATTCTACACACAATATTTTAAAATTCTGCACATTTTATTTGTCAAATAAATGTGGAGGCTCCAAGATGGAATTGGGGAGCACAGGCCACTGACAGCACAGAGGTGGGAGATCACTCTGCAGCTCCCCACTGGGACACGGACTCAGCAGTGAGGCTGCATCCAACCCTGACGTAGCGCAAGGACTGGGCCTGCCTCAGAAACACCCCAGGACCCCGCCACTCCGTGCCAGGTGCGGGCAGGCAGATTCAGCAAGGCAGGATCCAAGTGTAGAGAAGCTTAGTGTGGGGGGATCCAGGCGTGGGTTGAGGGGGTTCTGTGTGGGGCAATCTTGGTGTGGGTGGCTCAGCGGGGATCCAGGTGCAGGGGGACGGAATCTGGATGCACAGGGGATTGTTGGGGTGTTGTGTGTGCAATGATAATGGGACTCGGCATGGGGGTCCAGGTGAAGGTGCTTAGGGTTCAGCGGGGACAGGGGGGAGGAACAGAGCTCAGCTGGTGAGTCTGGGTGTGGGGGGTCCAGATGCTGGGGGAGTGGGGATCCACGTGCAGCTGGTTGAGTCTCAGTGGGGTGGGGATCTGGGTGGCTTGTCGGGGTGGTCCAGGTGAAGGGGGAGTGGGGCTCATCAAGGGGGTTCTGAGCACGGGGGGGGGGTGAGGCTCAGTGGGAGGGTCTGGGTATGAGGGGGTCTGGATGTATGGGGGTTGGGCAAATGGGGGAGCAGCTCTCTGTACTGGGATCCCTCCCCCCCCTGCAGCTGAGGAGCGATAGGTGCAGAAAGTGGGGGAGTTTGCAGAGCTTCCTGCAGCTGGGGGGGAAATCTGGGGGTTGGTCTGACCCGGCCCCAGATGCCGTGCAAGGGAAGAGGAAGTCACATTCTCCCTAGCCCAGCTAGGACTAGCAGCTGAGCCTGGCGCAGGGTAGGAACCATGAGCTGGGTCTTCTCTAGTCCCAGCCCCCACCCCACAGTACTTTACCTCTCTGCCAGCTGCCCTGGGCACCTGAAATATACTGCTGGGGAGGACTGCATGACTGCTCTTGTGGCTTCCCTTTGCTTCACTGTCAGAAAGTCATTTTTCTATTAGGAAGCAAAGAAATCTGCGGGGGACATAAATTCTGCGTATGCACAGTGGTGCAGAATTCCCCCAGGACTAAGTATTGCAAGAAGTGTGTCTTGTGAAATTTACTTTGAAAAGGATTCACAATTACAGACCTAATTCTGATCTCATATCTGAGAATTGGAAATAAGGCTTAATTTTGATAACACACCATTATAACAGAGCATAAAATTCCTCTCTTACTTACAGTGAGAGGTTATCAAAATCCAGCACTGTAAATAAGTCAGTAGCCAGGGAGCAGACTGAAACTGGCCTAATGAACTTAATAGAGTTCAGAGTTTTAAACAGAGTGCTACCAACATGAAATATGGCTCTATAAAATTACTGTTCTACCTTAAAAATATATTAACCTTACAAACTCATGAGCTATAAGAAGTTACGTTTTCTGGTTTACTAGGCAAGCAATGTCCATCCCTGAATTCTGAAAAAGCAGGGTCTCTTCCTTGATTATTTTATTTTATGTGTAATGAAGGCATTTCATTCATCTCTTCCAATAGCATGCACAGCATAAATAGGTCAGAGAACTCTCTGAACATTAATGATTTTTTCTGCCTTTAAAGACAAAACAGGCAAATAAGGAGAACTGAAGAGAAGGATGCAGTTCCCTGTGCTAGAAGAACAACATACTTTCATGAGCAATAGCCTAAGATGTTCTGTTAGAAGGGCCAGTGGACAGCCAAAGGCACAAGGCAGCCCAGTTGGTCCCAAGTTTTTTAAAGCATTGCAGCTTACTTCTGCTTCCCACAAAGTGCAAGTTTTCCTTTTACAACAGATTTGGTCCCTACCCTCCCACCTCATGCACCTGGCCCGTCACAAATACATCCCCAGCCAAATAACAGCAGCAGCTCTAGGACACCTCTGCAGCCCCAGTCATTAAAGAAACAAACTTCCACCGGGTGTTCGTTAGTTAAATCTCGACACTCATTAAAGGAGGCAACGCAGGAGAGAGGGGAGTCCGGAAAGATAAGAAGTGAACCACGTGAATGCTCATTTGAAGCAGAGGTCAAGGGGAAGGAGGCCCCGAGCTGTGACTAGCACCGGCCCCTGTGGGCAGCGGGAGACGAATCACCGACCCAGCTCTAGGGGGCCGCACAGGTCTGACCCGGGAAGATCCCGAGACTCCCCCGCCTGGGGCAAGGAGCGCCTCCCCTCCCGCCTCCACAGAGTCACCCCTCCCGCCGGAGGGAGCCGCGTGCTCCTGTCCAGTCACACCCCGAGGGCCGTTCCCCCCGGCACCTCTCCCAACGCGCCCCCTCCCGGCTATCCCAGCGCCCCGGGCGAGAATCCCCGCCCCGGGGGACCCCTCACCGCCCCCGGCACCGCGGCCCAGGCCGTATCCAGCTACTGCCCGGCACTGGGCCCCGCTCCCACCTCTGTCCCGGGGGAGGCGGGCATCGACTACTCACGGGTGCCGGAGCCGCTGCAGCCGGGGCCAGGTCTCTCCTTCCGCCTTCCCCCCCACCCTCCACCACAGCATCCAATATGGCGGAGGATGAGTCAAAGCCAACTGCTTCCGCTTCCGGGGCAACGCGGGGTGTGTGTGGGGGGGAGTGGCTCACTCCTCCGAAAGCCTTGGCTACTGGCGGGGGCCCCAATGGGGTTGCTCTTGGAGGCTGGTACTTCGTGCGGGGATTGCAGAAGTAGTAGTGAGGGGAGGTGGCGGCTGGTACTGGGAGGTGGGAGTGCAGAGTGGTTGGTATGAGGCACTGGGGTTACAGTCTCTAGTGCTGGGGGACCTAAGCATTGGGCTCTGGGTTAGGCTTATGGGGCTTGAAGGCCCTAGTGTTAGGGGGAGGGGTGTCTGGCTGAGAGGAGGGACTGAACTAGGATGAGATGGAATTAGCAAGCAGTGGGGGGAGGGATAGCTCAGTGCTTTGAGCATTGGCCTGCTAAATCCAGGGTTGTGAGCTCAATCCTTGAGGGGGCCATTTAGGGATATGGGGCAAAAATCTAATTGGGGATTGGTCCTGCTTTGAGCAGCGGGTTGGACTAGATGATCTCCTGAGGTCCCTTCCAACCCTGATATAATATGAGTCCAGAGGGGTCAGTCCCAACCCCTGTTTCCTGGGAACATCCTGCAAATGAGCAATGTCCAGGATAAAAAATGGTGATTAAATCCTACATGCTGTGCTATCCATTTTGTGATCTGAGACATGCTCTTCATGCATCTGAGATTCTGGGTAAAGTAAATATAGGCACCAAGTTATTTCCCCATGCCATTTTTCCAAACTCTATACGGCTTTGCTACCTAAAAGTGCAGTTGTAATGTGACTTGAAATATGGCATTTGCAGGGTTTCCCTATTTGTCACCTCTCAATTTGAGATCACATTTGCTCAGTTTACAAATATAAAAAGATGGGTTTTTTTGTAACTGTAAAACTGGAAAACTCAACAAGGGATCCAAATATCAAACAGGGATTATTTCTTTGAATGCATTCTCACCAGTAATAAACATTCTGTGGGACAAAATTTTCCCCTCACATTTGTAACAGAGGAAACATTTGGAACTACTGTTGCAGTTTAGGCCCAGATCCTGCAGCTGGCTCTATGCCGTGCAAGAGTCCACCTGCGTGAATCAAGTTTTAGTGGCAGGGCCCCAGTTAATAATGTGGGTAAGGCAGTAGTCTGAATAGAATTCAACTTCCTCTCCCATAGCTGCTTTATCTTTGCAAGGCTAACAGGAGAAAAAATTACTCACTATTGTCACTCAAGTGAGTAGATCCGACTCAATCTGCAGTGAGCAGAACTTCTGAGTAAGAAAATGTTTATATCATCACTTCTTGGAGTAGTACTATGCTGTGAAGTTTTACTGTGACCTTATCTGTCTCTTGAACTGAAATATCGCACTACTGTATATGCTACATTTCTGAGCCTGAAATAAAACCACGATAAATTTGCCCTTTTAAAGGAAAACTAGAGTGATTAGTTCCAACAACTTGGATAGCTATATAAATATTTATTAGACATGAATATATCAAAATTACTTTTCTTCAGAAATAACTACCCTTCTTTCCTTGGCTTTATAGCTCTGATATTAAAACTTTTCTTCTTGACTGGTTTTGAAGGATTCTGAATGCAAACTGTTGGTCACTTTTTGGCTAGGTGGATTCTTCCAGGTTTCAGGAATCCTCTCAAATACCCCCTGGCCAAAAAAGTCACCCAAGTAGTAGTATGTTGATGCAATCTCTGGATTCTGGCAATATTTTTGTTTCACCTCAGAAATAAAGTACAAAAATACATCAGATTTTTACAGTAAACATTTTTTAAAAGATTTCACATAGATATTTTTAAAAATATTTATAAAACGTTAAGTGGCGTAAAATTCATCAAATTGTATTTGAGTAAGTATTTTTAAGATCACCTAACCGTCTTAGTGCAATACTTACCATTTTGGCTTTCCTAGGTTGATAATTTCCCTTCACATACATAGTTAGCTTTATAAATATATTTAAAAACACTTCGATTATAAGAGAGATAATAAAATCCCTCACCCAGTGCTCTTTGATTAAACCTTAATTTCCAAAATATTTCCCTTTATGTATTGGAACAGTAATAATGGTTTGCACCACTTTATGTCCAGATAGTTACATCACACTCAACACTATATCTTTAAGCATGTATAGCATTTTTCTTCAAAGAATCTCAAAACATTTTACAAGGTTTATATCCTCACAATACACCTGAGAAGTAGCTAAGCATTATTAGATCCAGTATCCCAAGCACAAAGGGGCTAGTTAGAGGCTCTGTATTACTGCTGTATTACAAAGAATAAATCATAATTATACAGATGGGGAAAGGTAAAGTAATTTCTACAAGACCACATAATAAATCAATGGCAGAGCCAGAAATGGATTTGAGGAGCCCTGATTCAAATTTCCCTTTTTTAACCACAACAGCCACTATTGGGGGTGAGGGTTTCCTTATGCTTTCATTTAGAGCTTGTGAAAAAAACAAAACAAACCATTTTTCAAGTTTGAAACCGAATGCAGGAATCAGAATATGAAGATCTTAGTATTAAAATTTACATTAGAAATAGTCAAACCTCACTGGTTTAAATTGTCCTATTAGCACAGGAGATGCAGTTTTATCATAAGTCTTGTGATATTTGGTATTTTGCTTAAGTTCTGATTTGTTGAGGGTCCTCCTTGGACTACAGGACAATCTTCGTTTGCATTTTTTTTAAAGTAAGTTTCCAGCCTTGTTGGATGAAAAACAAGAAACAAACAAACAAAACCTCTAAGATCTAATCCCTAAAGTTTCCAAAACCAGAAGGCAAATACAAATATTTTTTTCTGTTCTGACTCATGATGTTTGAATGCTTGGCATTGTTAATACTGCTGATGTAAATATTAAATAATAGTCGTTCTCTTTCTTTGTATTTCTGTGACCTCATCACTGCAGTATCTGTGCTTCATTCAACCCTGATCCTGTTACTTATTCCTGTGCCCCCATGGAGGCCCATTGAAGTCAGAGACACCCTTCCCCTGGCACAGGTACTACCTGTGCACAAGCTTGCAGGATCTGGTCCTCAGATTGTAAACCTTGACAGCCGGGACCATTTTTTTCATTATTTGGGGCCTGGATCCTGACAGGGGCCTCCAGGTGTGATTGTTCTGTATTATTTACACAAAATAACAGTAACAGTTCTCAAGTATCAGGGGGTAGCCGTGTTAATCTGTAGCTACAAAAACAACAAGGAGTCTGGTGGCACCTTAAAGACTAACA